TACCATTTTGAGCGAAAGAAAGAATCACAATTTTGAATAGGAATGTTTGTTTTAACCTGAAAATTTTCAATTTGCTGAAATAAATTCATTTTCTATGCAAAATGGAAGAAATTTGCATAAATTCAGTGGGTTAACAGCTTCTAATGTTCAAAATCGCGATATGTTTTGCCAAAAACACAGCACCTATGTTTGAAAATTGATTTTGCCTAATCTCAGTAAGATTTATTTTTCAAATTAATCGAGACTTTGCATTAGCTTTAAATGACAAATCCGAAAAAAACCATTTATTTCCAACATTGCCTTGACACCAACATAATTTGATGAAATAAGCGATTTGCGATGATTTTAGCTTCCGTCCGATTTCGAATATATAAATTTACGAAGTCAAAAGTCAATGAGCCACACACAGCTTTAGCTGAAGAGTTTACGTTCGCAAAGCGGAATGGCTTTCGTTTGTTTTCATTTTTTTTCCCCTAAAGTTATACCATAAAATTTATCGATCGCTTGGATCACTTGTTTGGTGAGCGTTGTTGTTTGCAGAATATTATATGGATTCGGAATTGTTTGGAATCGGTTGTTCTAATCGGAGTGTTTGCTTTGTTGCGCGCCGACACATTGCATGGAATTCAATATATAGAGTTAGAGAGATGTAATTTTCAGGTATTCGCAATACCAAAAATGAGAATCAGCATTTTGCGACCGATGAGCACCGGTGCATGCAGTGTCATTCACGATCGCACAACCATACGTTATTCTTTTCCTTTAATTCGTTGTCGTTGTAACATTGTGCCGAGATTTTTGGAGTAGTTTTTTTGTGTGTGTGCCATTCTTACCTCCTCTTCCTGGATTTGGATCGTGAATTGCGCGCGGCTTCGTAAAACAACAATAATGGTAATTCTCAGTGCACACATCGGTTGTTGTTGTTATGCGAATGCGACGCGCATCATAGAGTTTTCCTTCTTCGATTTGGGAAGAGCATGTCGATTGATGTTGGAATCTATTGCTCGAATAGGATTCGCATGAATTATCCCTATCGGTTTTTGTTCGCCCAGACACAAAATTGATTAGGATTCTTTTCCTGTGTGTGTGTGTGTGTGTGTGTGTGTGTGATCAATGTTAATTACAAGTGCGCTCAATACAATTTCACTGGAAATACGGTGCCCAGTGCGCGCATTTTCACTCGAAAAACTTTAAAAAAAACGAAAAAAAAAAATAGAAATGGCGATCAACAAAACAAACACACACAGTTCGCACAATTGGAAACTAAACCATTATCGAATAAAAAAGCGACACAATGCAAAGAACATCCGAACCGAAGAAGATATTCAAATGTAAAATTGTACGCTGCTTTGGAGCAGAATGAAGGAAAAATAAATAAAAATTTATAAATAATCTTTAATTGCTTCCATGGTGACCATGTCACCTACCTCGTCTCGTCCTAATAAAATCGTGCAACATTATCGATCAGCAAATACTAATTGGATCACTTTTGATCACGATTCCATACATTTATACAGCATTTTCTCACAATTAAAATAGCACTGGAACGAATGGAAACATTGTACTCGATGTTTTCGTTTCGATTCTCTCGTTCGGTGCCTATTTCTGTGGTGTTTTACTTTATGGATGGCTGTTTTTTCTTCTCATTCTTCTTCTGATGCTAGTGCCTGTTTCGTTTGCCATCTCTATCCTCCTGTCTTTCTCTCTCTCTCTCACTCACTCTTTCTCCCGCCGCTTGTGTGTGTGTGTCCGTGTGCACTGATTTTGTGACTTTTTCTTTTGGATTCTTGGTTTCGTGCAGGAATACAGAAACACACCGAATGGAGCATTGTTCCAAAGCGAAGTGTGTATTTTGTTTTGTCATTTTTGTGATAAAAAAAACTAGAATATGGGCATGCAAGAAGCAAATTCGCCTCATATTCACACAGACCATTCGATTTGATTCGATTCGATTCGATTCGAATGGGTCTTTCTCGTGTGCTTTTCACCTTATTTTCGCGCTGGCCGTGCTCGTCGTTTTCTGCCTCAATCTTTTCTGTTCTTCTATAATTTGGTTTTTTTTTATTTCGATTTGATTGCCTGAGTTTTCTTTTCAATATTCCTCCGTTTTTGATTGAGACAGGCTCGTATGCGACCCAAACTAATACAAATCAAGAGAAGAATAAAAAATCAGAATAAAAGGAGTTCGATGTGATGCCCGTCGCGTTATTTCGCCTTCTATCTCTCTCGCTCTCTATCTCTCTTGCGCTTCGCAGCAACGGTGGCCGGCAAATCCAACTGAATACGCGCGAATGAACCCACAGAAAATGTATCCAATGTTTGCAACAGTTTTATAATAAGCGATTTATTTTGAAATGTGACTACGCGTACGGCGGCGACGGCAAATTATAAAAAAAAATTGATTGCACAGAGGTTATCGCTTGAAATGTATTCGAGAAAAATTGACAGAACAGAGAGAATGTCTTTGGCGAGCCGTTGGTTGCGGGCAGTGTAGCAAGATCTCTGTACATGGTATGTGTATCAGTTGCCAGGCGATTCCTTTATTTTGTTCCATTGCTGTCTATGGTTTTGTTTGTGTCGTGTAGTTCGTTGTGGTTCTCTCTCTCTCTTGCGATCGCTTTCTCAGGCGTTCTGCATAGCAGCATACAAACGTCGTTCGTTTCATTGGAAGTCAGGGAAAATCGGCTTTTCTGGACTGGCGAACGATGTGCGCGCGCGATTTCCTTTTATTCAATGATTGTTTTGTTTTGATTCGACTATTTTCAGCGTTCAAAATTGTTGTGCACTTCTGTGTTTCGGTTTTTGAGAAAGCATGCATGTGTGCAGTATGAGACTTTTTGCACACTCTTTTTTTTCGATGAATCGACTCGCTCGACTTGCCGACTAACGACAATTCTGAAAAATGTAATTCGTGCTTCTTGTTCTTTGGATACGGTTTGCTCTTATTGTTGTTTGTGTGCTGCTCTTCATTGTCCCAATCGATGCATGTCGGTGGCTTCGGTTCCCTTTTTTTTTGGTTTAATTTCAGTCTCTTCGAATCGTGGCAAGGAGTGTATCCTTAGATAGACTTGGTCTTTTTTTCGCTTTTTTTTTTAAACTACAATTCAAATTTAACAACTGACAATAACGAATACGTTTGAGTGCGGTGTTCGTAACGGAATGACTGATTTGGCACGAAAGATCAAAAGTCAATCTCATTGCATTGTACTTTCATTGCTATTTCCTTTTCATGTCCCTTGAAATTCTATTCAAAAAGGTTTAAGAAAAGAAACAGAAAAAATAAAGGAAATAAATACAAGAGCGTACACCACGAAAAAAAACGTTGTAAATGCAACGAAAGCGAATCAATCAAATATCCACTGGTACGAACAGAACAGACCATACAAACTTCTATACACAAGTCGAAAAAATAGAAGAAGAAAAAGTATATCAGAAAACATATTCCACAATATTTACTTAAAATCACGGTATTCGGTGGCCGCGCTACATCCATTCGCATCGGGCAATCCACTTTTTGCTACACACAGTTGCGACAACGGACGATAATGAAAAAAATGACAGCTTTGCTTTCTTAGTCTGCCACAACATCAAGAGCAGTAGAAATTTCTATTTTTCGTAAATAGTTTGATTTTTTATTTTGGTTTGGAAAACCGCTCTAGTTTTCAATTGGTGAATTGTAACATGCAGAACATGAGTGAATTAAAGAGCTAAAACGATTGAATTCAGTTGTTGCTTCTTATTTAAATCCCAAACCAGACAAAATGTGCTTTTAGTAAAGAAAAAAAAAGAATTCATCGTAATGAATAAACACACGCAGTGAGAGATAGAGAGTGACAGAGAGAAAGAGAGAGAGAGAGAGAGAGAGAGAAATAAAATAAGAAAAATCCAAGAAATGAGATTGATCACATCAAAGAAGTGCTGCCTGTAAATTTTGTGATTTGCGTTTGCAAAAATCAGCAATCTCAAATCATTGAAATTTCGGCGGTGAACAATTCACATATAGACGCCAATGAACCGAAGACTTTCTTTGGATAAACAAGGTGATTTTGTCTGCCACCAACCAGCCAACATTTTTATTTTCCCTATGTTTTTGCGTTTGTAGTTGCTTAGAAATGCAAAGGAAGAAAAGTTAAAGAGAAGATTCGCTGGTCCAGTTCGTTTTTTTTAAACAGTCACATCTTGCCAAACACCGTATCTATATTGTATTGTATTTATGTGTTGAATTCTGACAATGCCATCAGTCTGTTTGATGCACGCTTCGGTATTATTAGTTATTATTTTTTGTGTGTGACGCGATTAAAAGGAAAAAAGTATTCCAAATAAAAATGTTCATCATGTGTGCATGATGCGGTCTCAATAGAACGCGAAACAGAGCGAGGGAGAGAGAGAGAGAGAAAAAGTGAAAAAATTGAATGAAATCAAAATGGTTTTATAAAATCAATCGGTGCTAGTTTTTTTTTTTATTTCTCATGAACATGTGTGTGAGTGTACTACTTTCTCACATGTACGCAGTTTTGCCTGACAAAAAAAATAGACTTTATCGGCCTATCGACCGAAAATTGCGCTCAAATTTGTGAACAAAAGAATGCGACACAATGCAAAAGTGCATCAGAAATAGTGTGTGGATGTACATCATTGGTTCAGTTTTTTTTTACCTGTTTCCCATACAACACATCTCGCATTTATCCAATCCCGAGGCGCGATTATGGGATGTTTTCTGCGCTGTTTTTTGTTGTTGTTGTCAACATTGGGTCGGCTGTACGTGATGATACATATAGATATGTGTATGTGTATGTGTAATGGTGATTCGAGTCATGGCAAACACACCAAATTCTATGGAGCTACATGTCCCATCAAAAAAGTTTAGAATATGCGTACGCCGTGCATGCACATTGTTATTATTACATTTTTTGTGGTTGCTCCTACTGCCAAATGGTGCTGCTGCTGCTGCTGCTTACTACCACTACTGCTGCTGCTGCTACTGCTCTTCAATTACACACCTCATTCAATCGAAATGTAATAGTGTTAGTGTTTACGATCTCAACCAATTTCCCATACGTGTGGATGTGTGCGTGTTTGCTTGTCCTTTGCCATCATTCTACGCAAAAATTGTGCACCATTCTCAACAAAAACATCGAAATTAAATGAAAGATTTCGATTTTTTTCACTGCAATTCATGGCGTTATGAAAAAAAGTGATTTTCTGTGAACAATTTCAATGGGAGTGACGAAATCCATTCAATATGTCTGGGCTACTGTTGTGTTCATCAGAAAGATGCAACCTTTGATTGTTATCGCCATCTTGCACACAATAGACAAACTAATACGTAGCAGCGTTTAGATGCCAATGAAATGAAGAGAAGGAGAAAATACACATCAAAGATTCATTATTTATCGACTGTTTATTCGGTTATGTGGAACTTCAAAAGATCAATGGCAATGTGTAGAATGTGTAAAATGTGTCAGGCGAAAGAGAAACAAAAAAAATTCAATGAAAATTTCATTTGAGAACAAACGATATTAAAATGCAATCAAGATTTCATTTGGGGCAAGGACATGCAATGCAAACAGGATATCAACGGAGAAAAAAAAATCCCAAATCAAATTGAATCGTTTTAATATCAATGCAGTTTAAATAATAAATTCGGAAACTTATCAATTGAATGAACGGATGTTCTGTATCAAATCCAACTAAATCGAAGGAGCTATTATGTGTGGGTACTGCACGCACACGTCGTTAAAGTGTGAAATAAATGCGATCAAAACATGTGGAAGAACCATTTCTATATGCATACATAAAAAATGCATAATCAAAATCACGATGAAACAGATTGTAGAGCTAGACATAATTGCGCTTATGCCAAGTATGTCGCGCGCGTGTATTTGCGCGAAACGGAAAACACTTTGTGTAAGAGAGAGCGAGAGCGATCGAGTGCAATTTTCGCGTTTTTCCTCAAACGATGTACGCTTTAAGTACGGAAATCAAAATTTGTAATCACATTAAGTACGCATATCGGGTTACCTTATGTAGATAATGTTTCGTCATTGATAAACTTTGCTTCCAATTAGCTTCAGCGAGTTCATACACACAGCAAGCGTTTCTACCTCCAATACCATTATTATTATTGTTATTTTTCATTTTTCCTCTTCTATGGCCTGCTGATGTTGTTGTTGTTGCTGCTATTTCTTCGATATTATTTCTCTCCGCTCATGGAGAGCCATAAAGACAAATGGAAAGAGGAGAAAGCTCTCTCGGCCACGGAGATAAAGAGAGAGAGAGAGAATGCTGTGTTTGTGTTAGCATTAAATCACATATATCCGAGAACAGAGTGAGCGAGAGCATACACAAACGCGCATTCACACATCAAAACACGAACACATTGATATCCACACAAAAACGTAGCCTAATAAATAAATGCGCAAACACCAAGAGAACAACAAATACAAAACGTGTTCATGTATCATGGCTGTCGCCATTGTATAATTATTGTTCACAGTAATACATTTTCCCTAATATCAAATAGTAAAACACACACGCACGACGACAGCAACAGCAGCAGCAGCAGTACCAAGCAGCAAGCAGCAAGCAGCAGCAGCAGCCAAGGTACAAACGAACACATGAACCTATGCACGCATTCTCAGAGCATCGAAAACAATACCCACCACACTCATATATTCCATCGTATACGGATGCATATTTATGATATATACACACACACGCAGTCCGAGAAAAAAGTGAAGAAAAAAGAGTCGCAGTCGCAAAACATAAATGTCGATTTCTTGAATAAAATGTGTGTGTTCGTTCGACAGAGAGGAAAAAAAATAATATTAGAAGAAGAAAAAAAAACTGAACTGTGTGACTGATTTCGAATAAACGAAAAAACAGGAAATTTATTTATTTTTGTGTGTGCGTGTACTGTGATTTCCTTTTTGTTTATCACGACATTCTGTTTTCATCAAATTCAGCACCAAGATTTCAAAGAAGATGTGAAAATATTGAAGTTTTTTTTTGTTGTGTATTCTGTGTGAACGCTAACAACAACTAGATTAATTTTTTTACCTCACAAACATACCATCCGATCCATGCAATTGTGCATGGCATGTGATACAAATTAAACGGGCATCAGTTTTAGTTTTTTTTTTAATTGCATATACCAAGTATCCGAAAATATAAAACGCATAAATATTTCTCGCGGTTAAAAGCGATTCAGTGAAACACCGTTCAACGAAATAAATCAATTGTGAGTGAAGGAAAATTGTACGGCAACGATTTGTGTGTATGAATGAGTATGTAAAATAAGAATCTGTGTAGAAATGTTTTTCTCTTGGCTTTCTATCCCTTTCCGTTCGATTGAAATGTGAAGAAAACAATTCAAAATATGCGATAAACGATATGATTCTCGTTTCTTTTTCGCGGGCCAACTTATTTTTTTTTTCTTTCATCAATGTTTACACGGAGCAGTCGAAAATTAATTATTCAAAACATTCAACAATTCAATGAATATTCATATTCAGTGGATAAACAAAAACAAATCAGTCCGATGGTCGATGAACGAGACAGTTACTGATATCAACACTGGATAAACAATCAAATCTTTTGCTTTGCATTTATTCTACTTCGCTTGTGTGCCATAATAAAAGAATTCTCATTTTTCTCAATCAACTTGTACATTGACGAATTTCTGTTTTGACGAATGTTTTTTGTTGGTTTGTGTATTTAAGGAATATTATCCCCGACGGGATCATTTTTAACGCCAAGTCCATCACCTTCAATACCAGCTAGCCCAAGACTACAACCATCACCATCACAATCACCGTTTCAGTCAGATGTGATTGTTATAGGAAATAACTCGAACCAAGACAGCGTAAGTGGAAATAGTGAATAATAAATAAAAAAAATTGGAATGAAATTTAAAACTAATTGGAAATGTATTGTTGTGTAATGTTTTTTTTAGGTATCTGCGCCAATCAGGCGACAATCTTTTAATCAAATCAGTAGCCCGAACACTAGCGCTGTGGTTTTCAGGCCGAGTCCTACTCAATCACCGGCTGCTGCCACAACTGTTGTTGGCGTAGTCGGTAATGAATTCAATACAACTTTAGTTGGATCCAACAATATTTCATTGAATAAGGTAAGGTTTTGCCTCTCCCCCTCTGTGTGTATGCCAAAATAGTGTTTCAAGTGATGAAAAAAGTTAGTGTTTAGTGCGAGAGAAATGATTTGATATTTTTTTATCCTAATTTTGCAGAAGGGTAAGCGAACCGCTGTTAATCAGCATGGAAGTGGATCTGTTAATACAGGCAACTCCAAAGCTTCCTCGTCGACGTCGTCGGCGAAAAAAGCAGGACAAACAGCAGCCACCAATATAATAACCAGTACAGGTAACATTCATTTGGTTGCATCCAGTGGATGCCATCCACGCTACATTTTCGACCTCTTACTCAAGCGTCTTCTTACCATTTTTTTTCTCTCCAGATTTATTTGCTAAAAATATTCGAACGCCGCCACCAATGCAATCGGTTACATATTCAAATAGCTCAACTCCGATATCCTATCAACCGGTTCTAGGTGGTGCGGTCATTCAGCAACAAGCAAATCAGGTGCAAATTCCTAATGCTGCAACAGCAGTAAAGCAAAATAAATTACCACCACAAATATTACCCAAGGTACGTCGACGTCCGATTTTTGATCGTAGAGTCTCAAAATAAGACTGACCACATTTACATACTTTTTATCGACTGCGAATTGTCGACACTGATTCCTTTTTATTTAATTTTTTATTGTTTTGTCATTTTGATTTGTTTATCCACAGCCGAACATTTCAAACAGCAGTTCTGTGATCACGCAACCTAAAAACACGATTTCAATGTCGACCGCTCAATGTGAACCTAATCTAACGCAACATCAACAACATCAACCCACTCAGCCACAGTTGAACACACAACAAATGCAATCCAATACACAAACGCCGACACCACAGCCAAACGCACCATTGATCACCACAGGTAACATTCACTCAATCTACTACTCTTTTGTCCGTTTTTTTTTTTGGTTTTTGTTGTTCATTCACTTTGTTACATATCTGATGTTGTTGTTCAAAAATAATTACGATAACTATTGATTTATATACATAAAATTCTTTTGAAAATCAATAAAACCAAATATCCAAATATAACCGAAAAGAAAATCGTTGAATATGCTCAGTAAAACGTAGGAGAAATGTGTGCGAGAAAACATGCATGAAATTTGCTCCAATTAAAATTTCACTTAATTGCATTAAATGGTCTAGTACAACAGAAGGCATTGGTGCGTCTAGTCGAGGCGTTGCTTTTTAAATATCAAGAGAGCGTTGTCAAATCTTTGACCAATTTCCCGAATCATACGGTTGATTAAATATTTTGTTTTCTTCTTTTCGGCTTAACATTAAGAAAACGAAATATGTTACGCGCCAAATAAAAGCAATTTTATTTTAAAACGAACGGTATTTTTTTCGTTTCAGCAGCACAACATCCAGGTCCGCAAGCATCACCTATAATTTTACCGAATTTGAACCAATTGCTGTTGAATCAAATGCTTCAGCAAAATGCCCCAGTGATCCTACAACAGAATGCTCCTCAGGGTATGTCCAATCACTATTTTAGAGAAACAAAAACTATGCCAACAATCATCGATTTGTCATTTTATTACAATATTTCATGCAGAATTCCTCTGGCTACAATATTCATTCATTGATTAATTTGTTTTCGTTTAATTTTCAATTGAAAATTTTCCAGGTGTTCAATTAATTTTAAGGCCGCCAACTCCGCAAATTGCTGTAATTCATAATTCTCGGCCGCAGATTCAGACGCCGCAACAACCACAACAATTGCTTCGGATTGTCAATGCAAATGGGCAAATGCAATTAGCAACTGCGACACCAACATTTATCGTTTCGTCACAGTCCAATTTAATTCAGCAAAATTTGCAAGGGATTAAAGCTCAAACGACCAATCCATTGAATCAATTGCAAGGCCTTACATCGCAAGCGCCACAACAGATAGCCGCCATCAGTGGTGGTCAAATCATTGGCCGGAGCATGGCACAGATCCAATTGAACGGGAATCTTGCACAAATTCAAATGCCAAATGGCTTGAACGGCCAATTTATATCGCAAATACCGGCACAGTTTCAACAAAATGTCACAGGTTTCAATCAATTCAATCAACTAGGTAATACAAATTTTCAACAATTGGCTACCACGGCCACCGGTACATACATCCAATCACCGCCGCCGCAACAATCATCTGATATGGTTGTAACGGGACCGAATATTCAATTCACCACCCAACAAACATCACAGAATGTAAGTCTATTTGCATCAACCTTATTTCATCCATAATTTTAACCCCAAATCGATCCACACACACTTACACACAAAAAACTTCAATGTAATTTTCACATCGCCAATTAATAACTATAATAAAATGCTTTCAATGAATTCCATGCAATTTAAGGTGTCTGTTGCTCAACCAATACCTTCATCGCAAATCATCGCTGTGCCCCCACAACAAACCCAATTAATACCGACAACAATTCCCACACCAGAACCAATTCGAAATCCAACACCCATTCTACCTACTAATGCCGTTATTGTTCCCGATTCACCGAAAAATCAAATCTTTTCACAGGTAAATTTTTATCGATCCGCAATTTTTCAACCAACATAACACTGAATCGAAAAATCAGAACGAAAACAAAAATGGAGAAAGAAAAAATGAATAAGATATAATAAATAATTGATTCCCTTTTTATTCGTTTCAAATAAACAGCAACAGACTACAAGTGAGCTATCAACCCAAGACGTAGCGCCCACAACAAAAAAGCCTGCCAAAAAACCGAAAAAACCCAAACCGAAAAAGGATTCAACAAATCAACAGCCAACAGCACCACTGATACAAACATCACATTCAGTTGCCGTTACATCACAAACACAAAGCCATGCCAAAATTGTACAGTCGAGGTAAATATTTGAACAGCTTTCGATATTTTAAATTTTTACGCATTCGATCAGCAGCCAGTCACCAATGATAATTGCGATTTAACAAAAATTTATAACAATTTTTATTTCGTGTGCTCGTTCGATTCACTTGTCGCCTTTAGTAATCTGCCCGTTGTGAGTCAAGCACCAGTCACAACACAGTCAAGTCAAGCATCACAGTTACCATCGCTAACAACAAGCACTGGAAAATTGGATTTGGCCAATGTTATGAAATTGTGCGGAATCATGGATGATGATGATTTTATGGATACGGACGAAACGCCGCCACCACCAAGTTCCACACCGTATGACATGCCGACAAGCCTAAGCACTACAACACCAAGTGATATAATGGTCACCATACCATACGTACAAAATTCCGATATGTCGCACAATCGAGTGAGTAATGGAGACAATCTTTAAAAAAAACAATCGATACATCCAAATTGCCGAAGTTTGAACAGTTTTTCATTGATTTTCCTCTTTTTCTCCATGTTAACATGAATATAGGCTTTTTCATTTACAATACCATCGGTAGAAGGTGGCAACACGTCGATGACATCGTTTCAGGATGCTTCTGTTAAGTCGACAATGTCGCGGCCAAACGGTGATACAATCATTAGTGCGACAACAATCGGCACCGATGCAAAAATGCCAACCGATCGCCAGTACATGATAAAAATTGACAATAACGACGGCACACCACCGTTTCCACTTTCGATAACATTGCCACACAATCTGGGCCCAACGGATAGCGCTGAAAGCAATAAAATTGTTTCAATGCAACCAGTAACAACATCACAAAGCAATCAAACGCTGCCATTGACCAATTCAATACCAACGCCAACGCTACAAAGCCAAATAAATAAAATTCAAAATCAATTGATTGGCGTGCAGAACAGTTTAGCGCCAACGAATATGTCGAGTACAATGAGTACAATGACTGCTGCCAGCACTACGGCTATTTCAACGACAACGCTAACAACAAGTTCCGCCCAAAAAACAACCAAAAAGAAGCAAACCAACAAACGAAACAATAAAAAAGTTATGGAAACTATTAATGTGCCAAGTCAAATTGGAAACATCCAGGTACGTTGCCTATACTGGAAGAAAAATTTCTCTATTCCTCCCCTCTCCACCCCTTCCTCTTTATGACTTTCTCGTCGCCTTTGACTTATGTGTTGTAATTTATTTGAATCGTTTGCTTTTTTAATTTTTTGCGTTCTTTCTCTCTCGATCAGATATCGCAAGTGGACCGAAACAAATGTACACCGAATCAAAGTGGAAAGGCGATTGAAAATCAAATTCAAATTACACCAATTGTGGACTCAAGTAGATCAGTGACACCGAACACCTCGCAACTATCGAACAATGTGATTGGCATCACATCGTCGCAAACGCAACAGGTCACATCATCCATCAATAGTTTGGGCAACAATCAGGGAATCACAATGAATTTAAATCAGCAGATACTCAACATTCCGAACAATGTGCAGATAATCGCATCGTCTTCTAGCAATAATTTAAGTACTCATGGCAATATCATAACAAATTCGATTTCATCGAATCCGGGATCCAACAGCGGCGGTGTTATTATCAATACATCCCAATCGTATCCGCATATCGGCTTACAACGACCAACCATTCAATCGTCCAGCGTGCAAACCATTACCAGTTCGGGTGCACTGATCAATACAAGTGCTCAATTGTCACAGGCGAACAATGCACCGCGTCAAATCCATATGACAATGCAACCAACACCGAGCATCCAGATGCAAATGTTACCAACCAATCCAATTCAAGCCGAACCACCGCCACCACAACCACCATCACAGATGACCACATTGCCACAGTTAACGGGTAGTTTGACACTATCCTTTTCCGAAGACGGTCGACTGCTTTTGAAGCACAATGCGAACGCTCCACAAGATTCACAATCCCAAATGATCTTGCAAGCCATTCTGAGCGGTGCTCTGTGCAATGTAACGCTCATCAATGAAACCACTGCGACCACACCCCAGCCAAATATTCAACAGACCAATATTATTGACAGCAATAAACCATCAATAATCCTCAAATCAAACGAAGCTGTGCCAAAGCCGATCATTTCAACCAGCAACACGATGGTCACATATGCCAACGACCGACCGCCTATGGTGAGTTATACCATATAATTTTTGTTTACATTCAATGTTTCGAAAGGTTTTTCCAATGACTGGAATTGGGAAGCGTTTTTTTTTCTGCCGATGAATGAAAATGAAAGGGAATTTCTCAATGAATTTATGTGATCTATTTGCTTTATTTCGTGTTTCTTTCCAGATGACATCACAACTACCCACACAGAAACCGCCGAATTTTCCGAATATGATACAAAACATTCAACAGCAACAACAGCCACAACCGGCACAAATCCAATCAATACCGCAACAGCAACAAACATCACAGAATATCACGGCCAATGTAATGGGCAATGTGCTTACCAACAGTTTTCATCAAACACCACCACCCCAACAGCAGCAGCAGCAGCAGCAGCAACAACAACAACAACAACAACAACAACAACAACAACAACAACAACAACAACAACAACAACAACAACAACAACAACAACAACATCAACAACAACAACAACAACAACAACAACAACAGCAGCAGCAACAGCAGACAACGAATCCAGGTGTGATGCCAACGACCACAATTGAATTGCCGAAAATAGCACCAAATCAACAATTATTTTCATTGAATACGATAACAAATCAAATTACACAACTTTCACCCGGTCTCACAACGGCCGCTCTCGGTCCAATGGAACGGCTACTCATTGTACCAGCCGGTGTGAACAAACAACAGCTGGCCAAATGCTTAATACAGGGTCAAATTCATTTTGATAACATTGGACAGGCGACACAAGCATCAAACGAAGCCAAACCAATCATTCAGCAGCAGCAGCAGCAACAACAATCAATGCAGCAAACTACCATTCAGCCCAATCAAAATCAAGCGCCACCGCCCCAAATTCAGACACAAAATCATCTTCAGCAACAGCAACAAAGGCAAAATTTACAAAATTTAAAAGCGTTGGCACCAACAATGGCTGCCGTACAACCGAATGTTGTTACCGCAAAACCCGAACCAAAACCCAAAAAATCACGTTCGAAAAAGCCAAAAGCCGAAACAAATAAGAATTTAGCCAAACCAGATGTAGTTGGAAAAATGGATGAAAATTCAAAGAAAGAGAACGAAGTGTCCAAGAATAATATAATAATATCCACAAATGTTCCGGCCGATGGGAATGTCACGCTAAAATTACCAAATGAAATGCAAACCAAATCAATAAATGTATCGAAAATGGTGAATGCCGCCGGTGGTCAAGCGAATAACAACAACCACATACATCCAATGATGCAAACTTCAAACAACGAACTGATACTCAGTACCGCTTCGAATGCACCGCGTATCATACCACAGCCAAATATAATGTCAACGCAACCAATCATATCGCAGCAACCGCATCAAGTAAATGCTACAAAAATTGGCCATGCAACCGCACAAAGTATACAGCAAAAGAGTTTAACGATCACCGTTAATACATCACAATCGAATTTACCGCCGTTGATCAGTGTGAGTCAGCCACAGATGATGGTCTCGCCGACGCACGTGCCTCGAGTACAAACCATTCAACTAACGCCACAAAAGCAACAATCTCTCAAAACGGTGCAAATGCAAATACAAACTTTGTCTAGTCGTTTGCAAAATAAAAGCCTGTTGGCATCCATTCGACCGGATATGAGCCCATCGAATCCGCTATACAATAAACCATTGCCGGTGCTAACCAACCTCAATTCGATGAACGACATGGACATTTATCAGGCATTGCAACGTTTATTCATTGAACAACAGAAAATATTGGCAACGGGCAAAGTTATATCAACACTACCGGCCGGTCCGAATTTTTCGGCAAATGTTCCAATTTCGACGGCACCAATTATTACCGCAAATCAAGCGACGGTGTCACCGGTGAAAAAGGTCATCGTCGAAAATAAGCCAAACAATGTAATTGTATCGACCGCGCCGCCATTGCCAATTAACAGTAAAATGAAATCGAATTATGCAGCGAGACCGGTACAAAGTATGCAGCCCGTATGCATCGTTTCGCCGCAACAACAACAGAAACCGCCCGCACCAATGGCAAAATGCGAAGTGACTTCAACAGCTGCCACATCAATGCCGATTGTCAGTCCAGTCGTATCGATCGCCAAAGAAGGAACAAAACCAATCTGTTCGCCAAAGCCAGCCGAACCCATTCAAAAAGTACAAACATCGACAGCATCGTGCCAGCCACCGGAACCAATACCCACACAATCAATTCAACCGACACTCGTATCCCGAACTAGTTTGTGAGTTTGTGTTCATTAATATCTCAAAACGTTTCATTATTATGAAATTTGCAACAATTTCGAATTGCATGTCACGGTTGTGATTTTGATTTGATAAATTTAAGCTCTAATACGTTTCGTTTGCTTCAATATAGGTTTGAGAATCAGTTGGCCATTGATCAAGATAGTTGCATTCACCCGGATTACAAGAGCCCGTTTCGAAGCAAAGAAGATGCCGTCAAACGACTGATCAGGTAAAATTCGAATGATTAATTCAAATGTGGGGTGATATCAATGGAAATATGTTTCGTCTCGTTTAGATATCACTGCATATACTCTGAGAATGATCCAGATAATGAGCATCAATCGGAAGACGAGGATCGCTTCGTCAATGCCGCATATGATTTGAGAGAAAGATACAATCTGATGATGAACAAGTATCAGATGCTCCTCATGAAGGAATCAATGGTAAGTTATTTCACATTTAAATGTAATTTAAGAAGAATTTCCTCTTTAGTTTTCTTGTTCATTTGTTATTGTTTTTTGTTTTTGTTTTTCTATCTTATTTGTAGCGCACTGTTCGAACATCCGAACTGATGATGTTAGATCGAATCCTTGTGTCGGATATTCAAGAAGAAATTTCACATATTCAATCTGAATTGAAAAGTCTAAATGAAGAAATGTTCGAGCCGCAAGTTAATAAGTCTCCGGATGCAACATATGGATCCGACAAAGTCAATACCAATGTGTTTACAGTCCAGCGGGATCATGTAAAATCGAGTTGTGGCACCAAAGATAATGATGATGTTGAATGTGATGAGAAGCCATCGATCGATGTGATTAAGAAAAATTCGGAGAAAATCCACGATTCATTCGTTCTGAATAACGCGAATCAAGCGGTCAAGAATGAAATGAAGAACGAACAGGATATGATTCCAACCACTGTGACCGAGTTCAATGCAGCGAATGTGGGTCGACAGACTTCATACAAAAGTAGTATTCATCAACAGCACCATCATCACAACAACAGCATCAATATGAATGCGGGTAATATGACATCGACAAACATTCCGGAAATGGACATTAAACCATCATTTCCGCCGGTGTCCAATAAGGAGAATTCTCTTTCTCAGCTCGATATGAACTTTAGCTACGATTCAAGCCTACTTGGTCCACAGAAACGTAACCAGAGCACATTTGATGTGAAGAAAGAACTTGACAATTTGGATATCGAATCGGAAATCATGCCGAGCTACATCATCAAAAAGTGTGATCAACCGAACCGCGAAATCGTTCATAGCCCATTGAGCTCATCTGATTTCGATTATTTGTGCAGTCCCAGCGACAGCAATACAAATCATGCGACCAGCAATCGTCGAAAAGATGAATTGATCTCCTGTGATAAAGAACACGAGTACGACGAATGGCTTTGCATTCAAAAGGAACTGAATCTAATTTCGGATAAGCGATCGAATGATCACCTAAATATTGATGGTTTCATGGAGTCTACACTACGGAATTTCAGCAATGACGATGAAAGTCCATGTTCCAGTTCAAAACTGAATGTGGACAATCAGTTTTCGGATTTATTCAACCAGCGACCCAACGATGCACACAATCTTGATGATGAAAAGTCCGATATCGACGGTCATTTGCCATTATCGGAACTGTTCAATGATTCAATCGTCAATAATGCGGTGGACAATGTTGATGCAAGCGATAAATCGGTGGAAAATCGTCTCGAGAATATGTTCAATGACAATCCTGACTTTGATAAAACCAACGATTTAGTTGAATCACGGCTGGAGGAACTGTTCCATGGTTCTTCACCACCACATTCATCGGTGAATTCGTCACAAGTTGTGAACAAAATGTAAGTTGAACTCATTTTAGTAGTCAAACAATCTATTTTTAACCCTGTATTTGTAATATGATATGGTTGGAATCTAACGATAAAGTTTAAAAACGAAAAATAAATCATAATGTGATTTTTTTTCTCTCGAACTTCCAAACAGGAATCAATCATTCCATCAGGTGGAAAATCATTCCGAATTCATGATGACGCACCAACAAACAACCGGTTCGAATAAACGGCACTGGCCCAACAATGGTGATGTGCTGCCGCAAATGAATATGAATCAATTGCATCCGGCAAAGCGATCGTGTATGATGAGTTCATTCATGGAGACCACCAATTCCGATGATCATCAATGGATAATGGATTGTCAGCAAGCGACCAGCTATGATTTTCACATCGATGCCGAGGTGAACAAGCGAAATGGCGGTGGCTCATGGAATGGCATTATGAACGGTTTAGCCTGTGATAACGGCATCGAAAATGAGAATGTGGTGATGATGGGCGGCGACATGGATCAAAAGAAACAAACGTGTTTCAATGCGATGTCTGTGAAAACAAATGATCTAATTGAACGTGATCTCCTAGGTTTAAGTGCGCATTCGTCGCCATCAACACTGGACAATGCCAATTCGGTATTGATGCAATTGCAACAGAATCACTTGCACAATGACAACGTTGTCTATCAAACGGGTGCTGATAATGGTGTATCACAGGCAAATGCAGCCAATCCAAATAATATTGCGCCCAGTTTTGATGACGACATGGTGAATCAGCACGTGCAAAATGCAATCGATTCAATTCTCAATTTGCAAAATAGCGAAAATGAATCATTGCATTACTTGGACCCAACGATGGGCTCATTTTTGTCCGACGGCCCATTGACACCGGCCCATATTCATCAGCAGGCATCCACAGCGAACGATTTTCATTTTTCACCGTCTCAAACCACCCATCAAAATTCATCGTTTCTAAGCTGATTGAATAGCGAAGTGGTATTCTAAAATGCATTCAAACTATTGGACACAAACACGAAAACTGCTGATCCGCACATTAAATAGCAATTTCTATGTATATGTATATGTTGTTGGCATTGAAAAGGACAAACAAATTCATTTTTTATTCAAAAGAAAAACTTTTTTTTTGACAAAATGCAATGTTCAGTCTGCAATACGGAAAAAAAATTGTTTTCAACACTTTGGCGCACATACACACACACACACACAAACAGACACGATCTCCTTGTATACAAGCTCGTCGATGATTGTGGTTCAAATGGAGCTTAACAGAAAATGATGAGCGACAACAACACAATTATATGTTTTTGATCATTTGACCATGGAAACGCTTGTATCCAGCTTTTAAAATTATTTAATTTATTTGCATACTTAAAAAAAATTAAAACGAAATCATTTGATGATGAAATTTCCGTGCATTCTTTTATAAATGACACACACACACACACATACATACACAACACTCTCTTAAGCGGCTAATGTCATCGTATTCGTCCTCTGCATCATGTAACATCGTCAAAAGAAGAATTCATTTCTTCTGCCCGTTGTCATTTCAGTGACAATGAAAATTCGATTCGAACACATATCAAACGCAACACTTCTCTATCGAATGCTGGATGGAACGAGTTTTGCTCGAGATTTGATATAGGATTTTGGTTTCGAATATGAGCCCAGATCTATTGCATATAATTTTGAACAATGGACTTTAACATCGACTGTCACAGCAGTCCAACAATATGTTTGCATGAAATGGTATGTCACCACACATTTTTTATTTGAACCATTTACAAAATTGTTAATGAAGACTTTTTATTATTTCAGATCTTGGGAAGGAAAAAAAACATCTCTTGGAGAATCAACCACCGAAGGGATGAAGCTGAACTTCATTTTGATCTTCATTCAAAAACAATTGTTGATTTTATGAACGAGAAAAGAAATTTTGTGTCTAACATGTACTTTAAAATTCGACAACGTGTGTTGTTTTACAGGGTTTAAATTATTTTGTGGTATCCACACACGTTCACAGAGATGTTTTGTTATGACTGTCAATATCTCGTAGCGAAAACAAAAACCGACACGGGAATTATGCATGAGATTCAATGGAGTTTGCGTCATTTGTAAGGGAGCTCACGATGCAAAAACGAAATGTTTGGTTTGGTTGTAATTTTGTTTAGATGAATTTAGTAGAAAAAAAACTAACACATGAGACATAGAGAATTGAAAATGAAATGTAAAAAAGAAAACAAAAATTTTAAAATCGATAAATTGCACAAAAGACTGTACTAAAAAAAAGAAGAAACTAATGACTAGCCTTAGGGTGCTGGAACAAAAGCAAAGCGAAACGTTTTATGTGCGAGCGTTTGTGCGTTTTAATTGTGGCACACAACATGCTGAAATGACCGATACAAGAAAGGAAAAAGAGAGTGACTTACTTGTTGGATAAAAAATTGGTTATTTCTCTGTAGCAAAATTTCATAAATTAAATAACTAAATCAAGCGAACAGGGAGCGAGAAATTGGGCGAGAAAGAAAGACAAAGAAAAAAAATGCTGAACATGAACACACACACACACATGTGTTCAATATTAAAGAAAATTGTTCGATTGCTACCAACTTCGGCATGACCGAAAGAATGAAAAAAAACATAGGTGTGTCTTTATGAAAAATTCTTTAGTTTTATTTATTAATAGCAATTTTTTTTCTTGCGTATCCTTAGCGTGATTTATTGTGAAAAATAAAATATATTTATTTTTAGTTGTACAAATTCGAAGAGTAAACGATGCACGTATTTTTCTTTTCTCTTTTTACCTTTTTTTTGGTTCAGTTGACCTGATATTGAAAGGAAATAAAAAAAAACTCTTCGAGACTCACTACAATACGAATAAGTGAACATTTAAATTATGAAAAAATCTTTAAATTCGGTTCGGTGTGAGACAAAATGGCAAACTGAACAAATGTTAATTTTTAACCCAAACCATCACTATCCACTATCATCACTAACACCATCACCATCACAATCCCCTCCCCCTTTCCCACCGCGAAACGGTAGACAAAATGAATATCACACAAATTTCGCGCGTAATTTATTTTAATTAAATATAAATGTACTTATTATTTGGTTTTCTCTTCATTTATGCTAAAAAATTGCATTACTTGAAAGAAAATTCGTTTGTAAAGAAAAGCGACTGATCTTGCCTAAACAAATTAATCAAAAAATTGATTCTTTTTTTTTTTTTAATAAAAACAAATACACTACATCACAAAACGAATATATGATATATTATTTAATATCAAAATCACATACACACACAATTTTTCGTTTCTTTTTTCTGTTTAAAACACGGGTTCAAAATTACGCCACCGACGACGGTCGCGTGCATATTCAAAATACTTCTTCAATGTTTTAATATCGCGAATTGAAAAGTGAACGAAAAATAAAACCAAATTTAAAAGAAAATGAATATGAAAAATAAACACTTAACACTCGTACAGCAATAAGTTTTAAGGAAAACTGAGCATATGGATGTGAATCGTAATGGGAATGGAAATAAAATATACTATAAAGGACACACACAACACACACAAATCCCTGAACAGATTAAGAAATTTTTTTTTAAATCAATGAATGTGCGCATTTTTGTCATGTAAATTTCAAGGCTATTAGCTATTAGCATAAGGCTATACTAAACTCTTTTTTGTAAATAATTTATAATAGAACACAATTACAATTTAAAACAACAATAATAAAGAACACAAAAACTTCTACATCTTTCATTGTTTGTGAGCAGATAAACACGAAAAATCATTACTTACTTCAAATTAATCTAAATGGCAGCTGTATAAAAATATTAAAATTTAAGAAGTAAAGACAAAAAAATTACGATAAAATCATTGTGACTTTTATTCATCTCATTTTATGTGCTTTTTTTTCCTTTTCTAATCAAACGCTCAATTGCATAAATCGAAAATGATTGAACGTCTATAAAAGGAATATCATTACATTTTTCTTGGAATCGTTAATGCTCGTCAATTCGCTGAAAAACCAAATGCGATGCATCCACTTTTAGCACCAAATCCGCATTGTTTTCACAACGGATTCAAGTATATGGAAGTATGAAATAATTTTCAATGCAAATGAATTGGTACCACCCGATAAATATTTTCAGGCTGTAAGATGATAAGGTGATGACATACTTGCAACGAATCATTTTCGAAGCATCAATTCATAAATCCAATTCGATGTGACATGTCACGAACTGAAGTTGAACGGGATTCATGATTTGACCTTGCACTTCAAGGCTACCATTGAAACTGATATCTTTAAAATACGTCCAACAATGTACCATGAGTTTTATGACTTAGGTGACCAAATAAAATAATGACAAAACCACCTCCATTTACTCTTTTTGTATAGATTTATTTTTATGTTTATAAAGTGTTGTTGTTGTTGTTTTTTTTTTTTAAATAAATATTCGTTTGCACTTGGAAATGACATTTATGTTGAGTGATTTCATCCTAATGTGAAAAGAAGTTTACCATACTTACACTACGATTTAAATTTAATTAATTAATTCTTCAGTTTTGTTTTTCTTTCACTAAAAATTATAGGGTTTTATTTATTTTATTTTATTAAATGCACCCGTTTTGTTTATACATGAATACAGCTTCAAATCGGATACAATTTGGTTCAATACTAATATATCATTCTTTTTTTTCCACCGAAACATTTTTTTTTGTAAAATGTGAAGCGCTTTAAAACAGTGCAAGTGGCTCTATGCTGACGTTTACTTCAGTTAAGTAATGGAATTTTACACGCTAAATGTGTCGGTCATTTGTGCATGACTGCATCTTATTCTCGAATTTACGTATTGACAAAAAAAAACAACAAAAACAAAAACCCAATCGATTCAAATTCGAAATATTATCTTGATGTTTGTTAAACGACTATTTTTTGTTTAATTTCTGGAATATTTGGCATGATTTGTTGCTTTTTTCTTCTATAAATTTGTCTTATCTTATTTGACTGTTGCTATGCTGCATAATAACGTCCCCAAACAGAATAATTTTCATCTCTATTCTTTATTCTTCGTTTTGTTTGTAGATTTTCTTTTATATTTGGATCATTGGCAGTGAATGAGAAAATATCGCTCTTTGATCTGCCTTAAATAAATAATTTTCTTTAATTTACATAAAAAGAGGAAGAGGGAAGGAAAAAACAGAATCCAACAAAAAAAAAAGATGAACAAAACTAAATTATACATATTCTCAACGGAAAATTCGACAGCCCTAAAAAAAATATCAATAAATAACAAACCACACAGATATTATAAGCTCTTATTTTTCTGTTGCTTATTGCCAGATTTTTCGCACTACGACGAAGACGGACATGCGATTTGTATGCGACGACTAAAACTAAATTTTACAAATAAAACATTTTCTACTTCGTGTTTTCTTGCTAGTTGTGTTGCTCTGTTACTGTTGCTGCTATCGATCATAATTAATTGTTGCCAATGGGAAATGCATGCGCTTCGGAATTAAACACAAACTTTTCCAAATCGATTTCTTTACGGTCATCGCTGAACAATAAATAGAAGTATTTCAACATTTCGCCCAGATAGAACGATTCCATCATGTCACGCGGTCGTGTATTTAAAGCATTTTTCACATTACCAATGGATGTGTAGCCATTTTTCACTTTTGTATATTTTTCAAATGCATTGAATATGGTCCAGCCCATGTCTTGGTACGTTGTATTACCGGTCAATGAGTAGAAATAATACAGGCTTTCGATGAATTCAGGCCGCAATAAATTATGTGCATCATTTGATTTGACATAAATGTCCGTCTCACTTTCACCGTTCAAATTGAAGTAGACAATTTCGGGTGCCAAAAATGTTTGTTGCTTTGCATACATTTGATAGCATGTCTCCATTAGATCTTGTGCGAGGTGTAAATGTGACTCAGGCATGCCATTTGTGTAACCGAGTAGTAGTGTTCCAGGTAGGAAGCACGTAAGATGATCCATTTTTGGCTTGAAATCTTTTCCATTAATCAATTCACCGATATACACATATTTTTCGTTCGGTGTTCGACGTACCAAATGCTCGATTACCCCATCGATTGCCGCGATGTAATCCTCTATAAGACTAAAAAATTCAATTAGATTCAATTAGTGTTTTCGGTTTATTAAATTAGCAATTTAGATAATATGTGAACATACAAATCATTAGTCTTTTTGCCCGTTTGTACCCATTGCTTCAGCAGGTATTCATAGTACGAATCACCGCGCGCACCCAAAGATATTGTTGCAAAATTGCGAAACATTCCCGTGTTTGCATTTATGAAAATTGGTACCAGTCCATTTTTCTTCTCCAAATTATGCACTTTCTCGTTTATTTTGTTGATCGCCTGTTAAGAGGAAAGATGTTTTTTTTTTCAATTTGTGATTGAATATTCCAATGAATGGAGGAAAAAAAATGGAAAATAAAAGAAAAATGGCCTTACATTTTCAAATGTTGGATCATTCGTAATCCGGCTCAAATCTCGGAATTCCAACTGAATGGTTGTCACCTCACTTGTAGAACTGTGGGTTAGAACGTGGGTAATAAGAAACTTTTTTTTTTATTAGAATAATAAAAATATTTTAATAGTTACCTATCGGGTGACCATTTCGGAGAATGTGCCACCATTGTGGCTAGGTTAACATCACTGTATGGTATTCCAGACGGAGAGCTGAATGCTGGCATCAATCGATTACCCAATTCAGTCTGTAATTCAATGAAAATTTGTCGTACGTTGCAATTTGATCAATGTTTTCATAATTTGGCGAAAATTCCGTTGAAAAACATAAATGTTGACAACTTACTGCTTTCGTCAAAAACATTTTGTCGCCGGACAAATGGTATGCGCCCAGTAAACCGCCAAGCACGCGAATGGTAACTTCGAATAAATTTATGTCACGGTTAACGTCCAATTTCAAATATAAATCCACCCAATTTCTGGCATCTTCATATTCTGTTGATTATATTTAGAGAAATGACGGTCAAGATTTATGATAATATTCAAAAAATTCTATAAAAAATGTATTTCAATTCCGAAATGATAAAATCGCATAGGGATGCACCTACCTTCTTGCATATTCATGATGTAAAGTGTGTCGAGTGCATCGACAATGGTAAGACCTAAACCGAACCAATCATGTGAACCCATCGAGATTGGTTTTAGATTATCGTGACCCCATGCGAATTTTTTGTATCCGGTCCAAGCGTGTCGCGCGGCCGCAACAACCGCCCGTTGCCGGTCATTGGTGGGCCCTTTAAATTCTTTAAGTTTGGGTACATCAACTGCTGCATCGATTGCATTATTTCGTACATTTTCTACGTTATCAATCACATTATTTGCCATCACATTGTTGCTGTCAACGCTATTCACCGCCTTTCCATTTTCTGCTACATCAACACCTAATATTCCATTGTTCAAATCAATTTCATTATCATCCTCATTTTTATTTCGTTTGCCACCATCGATTGCGGTCAAATCGTTATTCGATTGATCGCGTATCGGTGTTATTTGAATGTGATTTGCTGAATATTCTTTGTCGCCGTAATCATTGTTTCCTTGAATCGAAGGTATCCACAGCAAAAGTATTATGCAGAGTCCTGAGATCACAACTATTATGATATTTCGCTGGAGTCGCGACAATTGGTTCCAGTACTAAAGTAAACAAAATAAAATGAAACAGAATCCCACATTGAAATTGGTATACTTGATTGAAATATATATGTTTCTTGCGTGCATTGTGTATTGTGCATATTTTAAATTAACAAGTGCTTCAAACCGTCATATTTTTGATCGTTTGCCAAAATTAAACCGAAAAAAAACATCAACACAATTAACCCGATTGAAGTATGAACAGTCTAAATAAATTGCAAAATTCACGACTAGATGCTATGCCATATTTATATCTAGTTCATTTGAATATGCATCCTTGTCTGTTCAAACTAGCATGAAGGCGTCTCAAGTACATTTGTCACAGATGAATACACACATCACTGCAAAACCGCAAATTCCCCATGCTATGCTCATTGAATACAGTTTCAATGAGTCATGCAATACTTCCAATAGCAATTTTAAAATTTAATTTTATCAATCGAGACAAAAATAATAAAATAAAATCAAAACCTTATCTTGAAATTTGATCTATATATTAAATTCGTATCATTTGTCACACAAACTCATGCAATAACATTCAGAAATCATCGTACGAATTGATTCATAACGGAAAACGTGCTATTTTTCTTCTTTGAAAATTGAAGTTTCTTATCTTAGTATTTCACGGTTAAACATTTGCGATATCATTTAAATGAATTGACTTACACGTCGACAACTCTTTTTGCCTGGCGCAACATTTGTATCGGTTGAAGCGATTGGCACAAAAATGTGGTCGTTTTTACCATGCATATTTCGTAAAATCTAGGAGGGGGAAGAGGAATTAACAGCTGCAAGCGCGCGATTTTAATCTGAAAATATGAATAAAATCGATTGGGGTTAAATTCGAATGACAAATTGATGACAGTAATTCAAATTGCCAGCACACAAATCGGAAATGCGGTATGTAATATTTACTTATGGACAATCTGTGGATCTGTGTACACACGGAATTTTGAATGAAAAACAAAATACAGATGAACCTGGTTGCACACAGCGAATAGATATTCGCTATATTCAATACTGTGTCGATTGGATATTCATGTTGGACAGCTCATCTCCGAATCTGAAAAATGATTCAACATCAATTTTCGTTTTGTTCAATTAATTCGCAATTTTCTTGGAATCAATCGATTTATATTCTAAGATATGACACACACACACGTACAAACACACCGACTCTCTTTTTTTTAAACAGCAATTACAGCAATCCATTGATTCACTGGCAGTGAATAAAACACATTCAAAATTGTTCATTCATATTGGCATGTAGAGGCGGCAAAATTTCCATTTGAATGGCTATGCATGTTCTTTACTTTTTTTGTCCTCAATTCAATTGATTGCACATCAAGAATTTTGGTTTGTGACACAGAATTGAAAACCAGTGTCACACCACAAGGGACGAATTTTGATGGTAGCTAATAACGAAAAATTAGTCGGTCATTTCACTGTTTTGATCCTTGTTCCTTGTGTTCACAAACAAATTGACCGTGAAATGTTCCGTATTCACAACGATACTAAATGCAAATACACAAAAACTTTTACTATTTAGATTTTACCGTCATTCACCGTTCGTCGTCGTTTTGTTGTTGTTGTTGTTTTTCTTCTTCTTCAATCGTCAATATTTCGATTGAATCCCAATGTTCACTTTGTTGACTGGAGCCCGAACGATGAAAAAAGTTGACTACTCTACAGTGTTCTGTTCTGTGTGGTGATGGCAGACATTTGGCTATGTCAGTCAATATGTCGTATACTTTATCATCGTATGCGTGTATGTAATCGTCCAAAGCGGGAACAAAAATACCCACAATTGTAAATACGTGGAACAATGAATCACATGTATCCCACCGTTTAAATGATCTTCTTTTCAATTGAATGATGTATTTTTTTTTCAACAACCTAAAACTATAGCACAGATTGTTTTGTGAGAGAGAGAGCCGTACACAGTATTTTTGCGACCATCAATTTGAAAGATGTACTTATGTAGGTGGTTTGAAGTTGGTAAATCAAAGTGTTATTGACATCTGTACACAGAAACGTCAACGTTCAGCCAAGAAATACTCTGAAATACTTAATGGTTTCAAGTACGTACTTCACAGTGGTATTGATTTTTCTGCTGTACTCTGTATTACGGCGCCAATTAAATCAAATACAAATGTATATTATTCTACTCTGCTGTATGATGAATTAAAAGTAAACAACAAATTTCAAAATGAAATATGGCTTTACATTAGACAAATTAAATTAGAGCACTTTTTGTGCGTGCCTATGAAATAAGCTCGGCGACGACGTTGGCAGCAAAACAAACTAAAGTTTCAAAGCAATTAAAATTACTGTTCATTCATAAGTTAACATTAAGTGTAATATTTCATTCTGAATCAAACAGAAAAAACTGCATTTTTTCGGCCGGAGTCATACAACTTTGACAGCATACCTGTAGATTGAATTTAAATATGCAAAATCATATACACACAGAGAGAAAAACGCTCGGAAAAACGACATGGAGAAGAAAATAAACACAAAGACACCAAACCGAATCCAACGAATCAGTGAATGAAAAATGAAATTTTCTAGAATTAGCTGCAGGCTTTGTTATTGATTACTATCAAACAAGAATTATAAACATTATTCAACCGTGTATTTGGCACATTTACATAATTTACTAAAGTAAGAACGGAGAGAGAAAGAGAGAAGGCAAGAGAGCAATGACTGAAACCCATCTCCATGAAATGGCCTTTTGTGACGTTGTCTAAAACTTTTTCACCCAACTAAAGACTATTTAAAATTAAATGCTTTGCTTTTATACCGCTCGCGTCATTCAACAATAACAAATACACGGGCGAACTTTGAATTGAAAGCATTTTGCACGAACATGTTTTCATCGTTCGACACCATGCAATGAAAATGAGCGAACACCAGGGAAAAAAGCAACGACGAAAAATTCATCACACTGAAGTGAAACACAGCAAACGAAATAAATAAATGAAAAGAAAAAAAGAAAAAAAAACACATCAACAACGAGAAGAAATAAGAAGAGCAGCCACAAATACAAAAACAGCAACAATAAAAGCATGGAGAATGAAGATGACAAGAAAAACGTTGCACACAGAGAGCGCGTTTACTGGCAGTTTTCTAGTTCTTGTTAATCTTGACTGGATGAAGTATTTGTTTGTTGTTGCTGTTGTTCGGTGCGGATGAGTGCGAAGTTCACAAGTATGCAGTACACGCCAAGCAATGGAACAATAATTTATTTGTTTACCCAGCCAAATGAGACTAATTAAATTCTATGGCTCATTTCAAATGACCCACTGCACTCAAGCTGAATGTAGACAATTTTTCGTTGTTGTTTTTGTTTTTTCTATGTTCACGTGTGACTCTCCCCATTTACCCCATTTAAAATGTTTAAATTGATGCTGATGATTCTTTTTCTTCTTCTCCCGCGGTGCCAATTGAATGCACGAGAATCTCTGGTTTCCGTGTCAGCACCAAAGTAACCAGCTGAAATAGCAACATCAACTACTAAATTTAAACGAATTTATCGTTTCATTGTTCGATGGCCGGAAGAATGAGAGAAGGATAAAATGAACGAGCAAAGAATAAAAAATGAATGGGTCCATCTTCATTCGCTTTGTTGAGATGGTTCGATAAGTGTGGATTTTACGGTGATGTAAAACCATCGAAATATCGCTGAAACGCGACCAAAAACACACATATCCGATTATGCGCACGTATATTGTGAAGTAATGACATCTCTTTGCGATAAGATGATGAAAAACAAATAAATGCCATTTATGTGATGAATTTGCATTTGTTGAGTCAACACACGCGAAAAAGAGTGAACGAGTGAGAAAGGGAAAAAAAAGAGCAAGGGAGCACAGGACGGGTGGTGAGTTATGGGAAGAGATGGTAGATTGGCAAAAAGCACTTCTGGTTTTTGCTCCATTTTTCATCGGTACACCGCACCTAGTTTGCTGGGATTAAATTACACGAAGGAAAATGCCTTTTCAACGTAATTATGAATGGATGCTTTATGGCTTGTTATGCATTCAGTGTTCGATGTTCAGTATTCAGCTGAGAAGCAGCACGATGTAAAAAAGGACTAGACAGCTGTGTGCGATAAATGATAAATCGTATCTCGCGAAGAGAGCGATATTGATAAAACGAGAGCGGGTATACACAGCAATAGCAGCAGTAGCAGAAGCAGGAGCAGAAGCACCAACAACATCAACAACAAACACATCACCACCATCACCAGAAGCAGCTATTTGCAGCCGTTAAATGAAAAACAGGAGGACTTAAGTTGATTATTTGTTTACTTGCGATGTTTGTTTATTCACGTCGCTTCAATCGAACTATTTGTCTTCTGCCGAAAACCTCACATACACTCGAAAAGAGATTGCAGAGTGGTGTGTGAGAGAACGAACGGAAGAAATGGTGATGACGAGAGGGTAGAGTGGGGCGAAAGTGTAAGTGGCCAAGCATTCAACGCTCACTAATTATTATTGATAGTAAAATGTCCAGCACCCAAATTAGAATATGACACGGATACGAAGCGGACACTGTACAATGTGCACACATTCCAATCCATAAGCCATTGATTAAACATTACATAATCTTATTAGGCTTCGTAGAGGCTTCGATGCTAGCCGCATCATATCTCTCTCTCTCTCTCACTCTCTCTCACCCGCATACACACCGAGCCGATGTGATTAAATACTTCAAACCACTTTAAATCAATGGACCGTTCTCAATCATGAAAACCGATGAAATTGGATGTAAACAATATCAACTCCAAACACATGGGCGCATCATAATTATTCACACGTTTTTCTTACAGCTTCTTCCATTTTTACCCAGTTTTCCTTTGTCTCTCCATTCTTCCGCACACTTTGGAAATTGTTTGCCGAATTCAAAACACACTCTCTTCCGTCTTCTGCACTCCCCTCTTCTTGCGTCATCATTCCATCGTCGTCATCATCATCATCATAGCCAACGGTTGTTTGATAGATGGTAAGGAACCATCGTTTGGTTGCCAGAAATGTGCTTCAAGCAAAACACTGAAGGTCACTGGGATATTTAATTCGATTAGACATGAACGTTTCATTGCTGCTGTTGCTGCTGAAAGCCAAGAAAAGTTCAAATTAAAAAGGCTGATTCTTATCTCTTATTGGTGAAAGCGAGTCTTTTGGCACCGCCAACCATTTATGTCGTCATTCAACAGTTGTCGATTATCGTTTTCATACACATTGTACGCGAGCCAAGAATGCGACAAAAAAGCGCAAACACACACACACATATACACATCTCAAGTGAAAAATGTGTGAGAGAGAAATAGAAGGAATTCGACGACATCCAAAAAACCATGCAAAATTGTATTATTTTTCGTGTATGTGTGTCTCCATTGCGCGCATTTTAACTTTGCACTCCGTTCCGAATTGTTCGAATCAAGTCCAAGAAGTTTAATGTACTTCGTAAGAGACATTATAGCGTAAGTTCGTGTCGCGGAGACAAAAGTTAAATCATGTCGAACAAATAAGAAAGTTATCGAACAAAATACAGAACTGCGGCGTTTCATTCAACGACTTTTTCGATTTGCAGAAGGTTTTTCGCCCTGTCGAAAATTGGAGCGCATCGGCACCTTTTGTGCCCTCGAGAAAAATCAATGTTTGGCCGTTTTCTCTCATTCTTCATCTCAATCTCCACCTCCTTCGTCGCTTTTGTTTTATGTCCTTTTGTTTAAAGAAGGATTTAAATATTATTAGAATGCTAATGTATTTGGAATAACCAACAGCCCAAATGAAAAATTAAAACGGAACTAGGCTCATTACGTTGGCACAGTCGACAGATTTTAATGTAATTTAAACCGTACTTTCGATCGATTTCGATATTTAAGAAAATCACCGTGTCGTGGACTTTTGCATTAGTTTTAAGTTTTTTTTGTTAATTTCAATTTCATATTTGTTTCATTAATTTCTTCCAATTTGCTCATTTAGTTTGCTCATGCATTGTTCGGTCAAATCACCGAACGCTGAACGCACTCACATTTGCTTTCGTTTCAAATGCGTTCTGCGACTTGACTGACATTTCGTTGTGTGTTTGTGTGAGTAACATTCGGGCAAAATACCAATACAAGGGTAAGCGTTGTGATACAGTGACAATTCAGAGAGAGAATCAAAATGAAATCAGTTCTTCGTGAGTCTCAGCACAGGACAGTTCCTTATTGAATTGGCAGTACAAGTTGTGCGCAATTTAATCTGAGTTCGCATTGATACTCGATACACGGAAAGTTTCCATAGTTATCAGCACAAGTTGTGCACCTTTTGTTTAAGAAATCTCTCTGAATTGGCCAGCGCTACAGTTAGACAGCTAATTTAGTAGGTTTTTTGAATGAAATAAAAGTGAAACATCGCGAAACTCGAATTGGCTAGCTCTAAAGTTTAGACGGCTGATTTGAGTGTTTGTCTAAACGTAAGTTGAATCGCACGTAAATTCAAGTTGAATTATTGCGTCGAGAAGTTCTCGTTGGCCGATTAAAACTTCATGTTTGACAAACATTCGCCTGTTTCAATACCTTTCTCTCGATTCCATCACGCAAAATTTCACGCTTCCACACTCAAACACACAATCGAAGGAACATTCATACATCAAATCACCACAAGCATTCAAAAGAACAACATTTGAATAAATATACCAAAAACAAATCGACGCATTTTATTTTCTTCATTTTGAATCGACTTTGGCAGCAATAAAAAGGCATATTGCTCCACACACCGAACAAACAACGCTTCCGGTGCGAATTTTGTAATGGGAATAGTATCTAATTAACTTGAATTTTGAAAAGCTTCCGCCACTCAAAGTTCGTCCAGCATCAGGCACCATGTCCGGACATTAGCCGAATTGCCGCACAACGCCGTATCGCCCAGTTAAATTAATGCCTACAAGTAATTTCGGATTTGCCAAATGGATCATTTTGACAGAGAGAGAGAGAGAGAGAGAGAGAGAGAGAGAGAGAGAGAGAGAGAGAGAGTTAGAGAGAGCGAA